TCTGGTTTGATCTGAGGTCCATCAGCTTCTCTGCCTGCTTCCTCCAGATGTTCATCATGAACAGTTTCCTCCCCATGGAGTCCTGCACATTCATGGTCATGGCCTATGACCGCTATGTGGCCATCTGCCACCCACTGAGGTACCCATCCATCATCACTGACCAATTTGTGGCCAAAGCTAGTGTTTTCATTGTGATTCGGAATACTTTGCTGCTTTCACCTGTACCCATTCTCACCGCCCAGCTCCATTATTGTGGGGAAAATGTCATTGAGAACTGCATCTGTGCCAATTTGTCTGTGTCCAGGCTATCTTGTGACAATTTCACCCTTAACAGAATCTACCAATTTGTGGCTGGTTGGACTTTACTGGGCTCAGATTTCATCCTCATCTTCCTCTCCTACACCTTTATCCTAAGAGCTGTGCTTGGGTTCAAGGCTGAGGGGGCTGCTGTCAAAGCTCTGAGCACATGTGGCTCTCACTTCATCCTCATCCTGTTCTTCAGCACCATCCTGCTGGTTGTTGTGTTGACAAATGTGGCCAGAAAGAGTGTCCCCAAGGACATCCCCATCTTGCTCAATGTCCTTCATCACCTCATACCTCCTGCCTTGAACCCTATTGTATATGGGTTTCGAACCAAAGAGTTAAAGCAGAAGTGTCAGAAGTTATTGCGATGGGGGCTTTAAATACATAAAAGGGCACCTCTATTGAAACATCTGTTACAATTTCCTTTGTTTCTCATTCCCTGAGATCAGGAATTTTTTATTCCTGACAGTAAAATAATGCTTGGATAGTGAATATTTCCTATTTACATTCTGTCCATCTAGTATCAGGAATTACTGTGGATCTCTTAGTACCCAGCCAAAATTCATTTGCCTATTCAGGTAATTAACCTTCTTAATACCTAACTTTGTATGTAGACATTTATATTTTTAAATTATCGCATCTTCATAACAGTTCTCATTGTTATTGTCTCATTGTATACATTAGAAAATAAAAATTTATGGAGAAATATTGACAAGGTCACGCTTGGTGAGTGGTGAGGCATCAATTCAAGTACAGATTATCTGACTCCAGAAACATCACAATTGAAGCTCTAGCTCTGCCATTTAGGCCATGATTTCTGTGTTGCTTCTTCTTTTTTCTTTTCTTTTCTTTTATTTCTTTTTTTTCTTTTTTATTTCTTTTTTTTTTTTTTTTTTTTTTTTTGGAGAAGGAGAGGATGGGGCAGGCAGAGGGAGAGGGAAAGAGGGAAAGAGAGAATCTTAAGCAGGTTCCCTGCTCAGCATGGAGCCTGATGTTGGATTTGATCTCACAACCCTAAGATCATGATCTGAGCCGAAAACAAGTCAGATGCTTAATGGACTAAATCACCCAGGCTCCCCTCTGTTTCATTTTCAGAAGCTGCTGCTGCCAATAGGCATACTTCTGGACTGTCCCCCTTCAGAGTCAGGAAGAAAAGCAGAGACTTGTAACTCAGAAAAGTCACAAGGTTTTTCTGATCACGACTGTTCAAAATTTCATTATAAAAGCATAATTTTCATAATAGTATCAATTTATGTCCAGCAGAATCCTCACATACCTTCAAACTATTTATGGAAAGGCCAAGACACTGAGGACCGAAGTGGAGGTAGAAGTAGGAATGCGAAGACCAGAATGTGAGAAATGGTAAAACTGAAGCGGTAGTATAGAGGACATCCTGCTTACTCAAAACTATGTCCCATGTGGTATAGAACTGTACCCAAGAGCCTTAAATGAAAAGAATATAAGTATAGCATATTATTAAAATTCTGTAAGTTACAATCTGGTGAAAATGGGTTAGAAACATATGTAATATATTATTGTAGTTGGTAGGGAGTGCTGTCATTATTTACATGAGTATAGGGAATTTAGGTTTCAGGCTCATCCAATAGCATTACTCAAAGGTCAGACATAATTTTTATTTACAAAATTCCATAGGGTGAAAGCAAGAGCCACTCTGTTAAGAGATCCTTAAACACTGATTCTGGTGAGTGGATTCCAAAATTCTTTAAAGGTATTTTATTTTATTTTATATTTTATAAGATTTTAATTATTTATTCATGAGAGACACAGAAAGAGAGAGGCAGAGACACAGGCAGAGGGAGAAGCAGGATCCTCGCAAAGAGTCTGATGTGGGACTTGATCCTGGAACCTGAGATCAGGCCCTGAGCTGAAGGCAGACACTCAACTGCTGAGCCACCCAGGTGTCCCTTAAAAGGCATTTTAAATGTAGAGAGTACTAATTTCTTGGTTTCAACAAATACAATTTTGCTTGTTTTTGCAGTATCTCTTGACTGGTAAATTGCAAATATTGGATATAAAGGAACGTACTATATGTCATTAGAGTATTAAAAAAACTTGATGAAAGGTGGAGAGTTGGAGAGCTGCTTGATTCCTTTAAGTATAAAGGTTTGAAAAAGTGGTTAAAAGTATTTTAGAGGGATCCCTGGGTGGCGCAGCGGTTTAGCGCCTGCCTTGGCCCAGGGCGCGATCCTGGAGACCCGGGATCGAATCCCACGTCAGGCTCCCGGTGTATGGAGCCTGCTTCTCCCTCTGCCTGTGTCTCTGCCTCTCTCTCTCACTGTGTGCCTCTCATAAATAAATAAAAACAAAAAAATTAAAAAAAAGTATTTTAGAGAAGAGTCTTTAAAGGAATTTGATTAGAAGTTGGCTGTGTGAGAGGGAAAGAAAGATGACTATATTTTCATGCTGATATTTGTGTGGATTTTGTTATCTCCAGTCTTTGGTTATTCAAGGAATGTTGGCATCAGGTTCTCTTCTTATGAGTAAAGATAGCGGCTGGGTTCCCTAGAACCAAACATAACTAACCTAGTGCCCTGGTCATGCAACTGTCCTTGCTTAATTAACCCTGTGAAAAAAAGATTCCTAGTTACATGGTTTTTACTAAGATGCTCATATTAATTCTGAGTATACATCTTATTGTCTCCACACACAGGGAAGAACATTTTCATAGAATCTTCTGTTAAAAATAAATCTAAGTACCATTGTTAATCTTTAAGGTCCTGTATTAGTCATAGCTCATGTGATTTTCTGTTTCTGTACACTCCTGTCCTTCCTCCAGTCCTAAAACCCATTTTCTCCAAATTCCTTAGGCAAATTTTGAAGTACCCAAATCACTGTGAACTCAGGTTCCCTCAGGGTGCATTTCATTTTAGTCCTCCTAATATACTAAGGCTTCAGCTTTAGTAAAACAGATATCTCCTGATTCGTGGGGAGGGTAGGGGGCTTATGTAGTCACATTTCCAACCCTGAGCCCAGGAAGGAGTCAGAAGTTAGACGGTGCTTTCCTCTGCTTGTCCAGTATGATTATACATACTCAAGAGGAACTTGAGCTTGTCAAGATGAGCAGCAAGGACTAGATTTATCCTCTCAACAAAACAACAACAAAGCATTGGAAAAATACACAAAATAATTGTTCTGAGGATACTGGAGCTGAAACAATGGAGAACAATGATCCCCAAGAGATAGGAAAGAAAATAAATGAGTTACGTTTACTAGAGAAAGGTTGTTATAACTTATTGGAGTGAGATTCTAAGCCATGTTGAAGGAAGGGTGAATTTAGGTGTAGCCTGGCAGCCTTCCTGTACTGAGGAGGAGGACATGGGAATCAGGGAAGGCCAAGGTAGTCAGAGTTCACAGGGTAGAGTTTTAGAGGACAGAGAACTGCATAGAAAGAGAATTCCAAAGATCTACAGAGGGCCCCCTAAAGTATTCAGCAGATGGGTGCATGCATGTGTGGAAACTGCAAAAACAAAAACAAAAAACAAAAACAACATTCATATAATTATGTAGGGATCTCTGGATGGCTTTTCAGAATTGTCTAAGTTGAGACATGTGTGTCAGACAGACACTTTCCTCTCTTATCAACTTCTTTGGACGAGATTGCCCCAGGAAGAGAGCAAAACCTTGGAGGAGATAGCTCCCTTTTGGTAAAGGCTATGCCTCTAGAAGAACACAGATGAATGCCCTGCCCTCATCATTGTTACTGTTCATTGTGAAAGAGGAAGTCTTGACCAACACAGTAAGTCAAGGAAGAAAGAAAAGTTTTAAGGATCAAAATAGAAATGGTTAAATTATCATTTTTTATGTGATATGCTTAGTAAACATAATAAACAGGGTTTTAGAATTAGTTATATGTTCAATAAAATGTTCAGATAAAATAAACTTGAAAAAACCAATAGTTTACTTTATACCAACAAAAATCATCTGAAAACAATAGAAATTAACATACTATTTATAGTAATATAAAACTCATTAGTATGTAGAAATTGGAATCATAATAAATACACAAAACCTTTAAGGATACTGTTTTAAATTATGCTTAAAGTATTTAAATGAAGACCTGATTAAATGTAGAGATAAACCATGTCCATGGAAAGGACACAAGAGCATTTTAAAGAGGTCTGTTCTCCTCATATTAATTCATACAGTCAATGCAATTTCAAGAAACATTACAGCAAAGGTTTTCAGAGGATTTTTGGTGCAGTTATTTTAAAATGTAAAGTGTATATGTAAGGTTATAGTTTCACCAAATAGAAGAGAGTTTTTAAAAAGATTTGTCACACCTTACCAGATAATAAAACATACTACAGACTCATTATATATCTAACGGCTGTGCCTAGTGCAAAGGTATAGGATATAGTGGAGTTTATAACAGGCTCATGTATGTAAGTTAAACTGATATGGGATATTATATTTACATGTATATAATTTTAATATACTTAGAAGGACAGATGAAAAATATACAACAGATTGCTTATACAATTATTTCTAATGGGTGACATTTTGCTGCACTTTAAATGATTTTTTTTTTTACCATGCAACAAAACTTTTATTAACATTTTGAACAGCTATTGAGAAAACCAGTGATTCAGCTCTTACTGAAACTGGTAATTTCTAAACTTAAATTGGTGCAAATAGCTAACTACAGTGCAGAGCTTCCATCATTGGGCACTAAGAATTCAAGATTGAAGAATTAACAGCCACCCCTCAGACGGAAGAACCAGGTAGAGAGTTGACTCTTTCTGGATGTTGTAATCAGAAAGAGTGTGGCCATCTTCCAGCTGCTTGCCTGCAAAGATGAGCCTCTGCCGGTCAGGGGGGATGCCCTCTTTATCCTGGATCTTGGCCTTCACATTTTCGATGGTGTCAGTGGGCTCCACCTCCAGGATGATGGTCTCGCTGGTCAGGGTCTTCACGAAGATCTGCATACCATCCCTCAGGCGCAGGACCAGGTGCAGAGTTGATTCTTTCTGGATGTTGTAATAAGAAAGGGTGCAGCCATCTTCCAGCTGCTTGCCTGCAAAGATCAATGATATACAATATTATATAATTGGAATGTTTGAATGTCAGTGTATTATTTCATAATCAGAGGAAAAATTATGAGCTGCCATTGGTGGACTGTACTGTTCAGAGCGAGCATTCAAAGAATGAGTATTGGATTGGGGAGAAAAACAATCAGTTTATGTAAGTAGAAAACAAATGTAAGAAGTCAGTGAATTCAGGGATGCATTTAAAGGTCACCAGTTAGGAACTTGTGGAGAAACAGTAAAAAATAAGTGCGGGAGAAGTGGGAACCACAAAGCAGATTTTTCACTTTTTATTGGCTTAATTGTAGCATCACTTTGGATTTCGGTTTTAGCCATCAGTCTGTTCTGGTCCTATCTTTGCATGGACTTCCCAGCACAAGTGAATAGAACTGTGATGCTGGATTCCCACAGAAACAGCTCATGTATGCCTGCTTGCCAGCTGAGTGGTTATCTCTTTGTTTCCCTTATTGAATCTATTTCAGATGGACTCAATCCTCCTATGCAATATAAAGCAGCAGGAAGCTCCAGATTGCTACAATTACATGGATCCCAAACAAATTTATAAAGGGCACAGGAGAGTAAGTTTCTGCTCCCTTTTTAATATATGGGTCCAGGTGAATTATGTTTACAGGTGTATTAGATGAGACAACAGGAAAATTAAATAAATTATTTATTACCTAACTAAATTGTCTAAAATCCATGAGAATACTATGGGCTAGAAATACATAGCTCAGACTATTTCTCTCTTGAACATATTCTTTGTCTGAAGCCTAAGTCTTTCCTAAGCTCCTCTAGATGTATCCTTAGGTAACTATACTGTGTATATCTTCTCTTATAATTGTTAATTATTTATGTATATACATTTATTTTTTGGTGGAGTCTTATTGCTGGGAAAATGAAATTTGAGTACTTAGTTTAGCCTGTACTCAAAACAACTTTTTTTTTTGTTTAAATCTCCAATTTTGATTTATTTCATTTTTGTGTTGGTCCACCTCTAAGAGATAGACTTGAAACATCTACTTTATACACTCTGCCTTCAGGCTCAAATTTTCAACTGTCCTTGGTACATCACAATTGTTGGATATCTTGTGTTATAGGCCATTGGCTGAATCCCCTTCATACTATCGTTCATCCTTCCTTGTCCTGACTTTATTTTTTGTCTAGCCTTAGATTCTATAGCCCATCATTTAATTACATTTTGGGAAATAATCTAGCCTCCTTTCTTCTCTTCCCCATTGTGGTTGCTTGAAAAACCCCAAACTTTGTTTAAATCTAAATAATTGTCTCCTCTGTAAAAGATTGAAATTCACTAGGAAAAAAATCCTGTAAATAAACTTACTGATTTCACATTAAATTTATTATCACAAATTTCAGATGTACGCTCAATAATACCCAGAAATCCTAATGTGTGATGTCATGACAGTAAATGAGCCTACATTTGCCAAGTTGCCCAAGATAGACTCCTAAGATTCATATTTGATTTTTACATTGAATACTTCATTTCTCATTTCTAATTCATAATTATGTTGACTTGACTATTCTCCCAAAATTTGTTTATTCAAAATCTTTTCCTCTGCCACCAATCTAGTCCATGCCACCACCATCTCTTGCCTGGACCAGATAATAGCCTTCTTGCCTGTCCTGTTTCTACCTTTGTCTTCCTATTCATACCTCTCTTTAAGACCTTTTTGATCTGCCTTACCTAAACTGATACTCCCATAGTAATGCTGTATGATGGTATATGATAGGATTTTTATTTTTTTTTAATTTTTATTTTTTATATGTTATTTTATTTTTTGTATATTTTTTTATTGGAGTTCGATTTGCCAACATATAGTATAACTCCCAGAGCTCATTCCATCAAGTGCTCCCCCTCAGTGCCTGTCACCCAGTCACCCCATCCCCCCACCCACCTCCCCTTCCACTATCCCTTGTTCATTTCCCAGAGTTAGGATTTTGTATATTTTCTTTTTTATAATTACCAAAACTTTCAGCATTTAGCTGTTTTATATTTTTACTGTTTTTACCAAAAGAATACTTTTTTTAAATTAAAGATTTATTTATTAATGAGAGACAGAGAGAGAGAGAGAGAGAGAGAGAGAGAGAGATAGGCAGAGGGAGAAGCAGGCTCCCTGCAAGGAGCCCAATGTGGGACTCAATCCCAGATCCCAGAATCACACCCCGAGCTGAAGGCAGATGTTCAATCACTGAGTTACCCGGGAGTCCTCGAAAGAGTATTTAAAAAAATTTTAATTAAAAAATAATATAGGTACATGGTTCAAAATTTTGAAGATTAAAAAAGGTATTCAGTAAAAGTAATTCGTTCTCTGTTTCACTAAGTGTATATCTGACTGCATATAATAGAAACTCCAAATATGGTGACCAACAAATTAAAAAATTCTTTTCCTTTCACATAGAAGCATTTCAGAAGTGAGCATCCAAGGCTGAAACCATAGCTTCACCAGTTTCTCGCTTTCTTCTTTATCATACTTAGAAACTGACTTTTATCCTCAAAGTTGCTGATAGTTTAAACTAGAAATTCAGGTATCAATCCTCAATCCATGAGGAAGGAGTGTGGGCTAACGGCCTTCATTTCTCAATTGAGTTAGTTCATGTTGAAGAGTCTTCCTAAAAACCCCACCAAATGACATCTACTAACATTCAGAATCTGAGAGGTATAGTATTTTGGCTGTATAGATGGTACCCCAATAAAATTATGTTTTTTGTTAAGAATGGGGGCATTGGGTAAATAACCAGCAATCTCTAAGATACCATTCTATTCTATACTGCCAAGCACAGTTTTCTTTTCCAGAAGCAACTATTTTACAGGTTTCTTATATATTCTTCTAGAGGTAATTTAATTATATATAATAAAATATATGATAACATATGTATTTATATATACACTTTTTATATGTATTCTTTGCATAGCATTAAAATTATGTTATTCTGTGCACTGTTTTTGCTGCTTCTTTGCTAAACAATATATCTTAGAAATTATTCAAAGAAGTACATTTAGAGATGCCTATTTTCTTTTAACAACCACATAATTAGAATGAGCTCTTGGTGAGGATAGGAACTGTGTTTGCTTTATTCAGCATTGTATACAGTGCCCAATACAGTTTGTGGGGCATAAGTGGTAGTTAGTATTTGTCTAATGGATGAATCACACAAATGGAAAATGCCAGAGCTAGTATTTAAACCTTCTTATGATTTGAATGGTTTTATTCTCATGATCTTATCTGCAATCTTGATGTGTTTTGACAATTTCCTTGTTTTGAACTCTGCATTCTTCAAAAGATAAATATATTTGTCAGTTAAAAAATGTTAACAGTTTGCTAAACTTGACTTGCTAGAATTTTGTTTAGGATATCAATACCTATGGTCACATTTGTTAGTATAGAGAAGTGTCATTTAGAAAACAGACATTGGAATTGGATTGACGTGGCTGTGAATGTAGGCTAGCTGTGGTGAGTTTGGGCAAGGCTTCATCTTTCTATTTATTTCCTACATAGTGAGGATAATAGTTCCTACTTCAAAGAGTTGCTCATTCCTATCTAAGGGAGATGATTCAATGAGAAAAAAATATAAAAGAACTTAACTACTGTAGGTCACTCAGAAAGTTTGCTCAAAACTTTAAAATTATTATAACAAAAGGGATTTCTCTATATTCTCTTTTCCTACATATTTGACCATGTCAGGTTTGTGCACCAGATCATTGGCTCCTGGCTTCTGGCAAGTTTTTACCTTAGTTTTAAACCACTCCATTCTTCACATCCCAACTTCCTACTTGCAGAAGCATAATAAGACAGTTCCCAAAGGACTCAGATCATCATCTCCTAAGTCTCTTTTCCAAGCGACCATTTCCCATCTGGGTCCAAAAAAGGGAGGGTAGGAGAGGAGTAGGAGTTCATAAAACTCTTCAGATTTATTTAGCAAAGTCCCAGCATGATTACCAATACAGCTGATATATCATTTAAAGGCTCATCCTTTGACATCTTCTGTAAGTTCTGGGGCCAAGAGTGGGTAGATAGCACAGACTGAATTGGATCTAAATGGGAAGAGTGACAAGACAGGCAGGGACCTTTTCTAATAGGCAGCCTCCAATTAACAGGAAGAAAAGACAATGAGGAGGTGGGAGATATAGTGGCTCTGGATGTATTAGCATTCAGAAATCCTAAGCACCTCTGTAAGAAACGTCTTAGTTTTCCTTTCTTCCCTCTGCCTTTCTAAAAGAGGATTCCATTTCCTAGCTTGGTTAGATCTAGTACATGTAGAGAATTGGACTTCATCTTGTCTGATCAGGAAAGGAAGGAGATCTATAAATTCGACAATGGGATAGAGAGTGTAGGGATGCCGAGTTTAGTATGTCACTAGTTGCCTTGCATGGAGATTCAGAAAAGAATGATGATGAAGAAGCTGCCTCCCAACTTTGTCTCAGTAGAGCAGTTTAAACTGGAGAGATATAACTTCCTTTAGATTGATAGAAAGCTCTCTCTCATATTCAATTGGGCTCAATTTTTCTGTGATATCTCTCTGATGGTCCTAGTCTTGCCCTTTTCCCCAAGACAGCCATTCCTATATTTTGAAGTTGTTTTTGGCAGGTCACACATCTATAATTTGTAATGATTATGCCCTTTGCTTTTTATCATCCTGTAACTTATATGATTTAATACATAGTGTACTGAATTGGACAGGATACTCCAGGTGAAATAACCAGAATAGGGTTGAGAAAGATTCTCATCTACTTAGCTCTTGAGATTGTATGTGTACAAAATATATTTATAGTTAATTTACATTTTTATAATTTAAGATTTATATTTAAATTATATATATATCACTTAAAAGAATGCCTGGTACATACTAGACACTTGGTATATTGCAGCTAATACTGTCAGTCTAGTTTTAAAGTCCTAAATCGATGTTTACTCCATATACCACATCACTGACTTATGTTCAATGTGTACTTCTACCTTTCAGGATATCTATGAATCTGTTCCTTTTTCCTTCTCTCCTATTCCAGATTTCTCACTTCCTCCCTCTGTCCTATTCTCCAATGTTAAGCAGTGAAGAATTGGAGCTTAATAGACTCTGATCTGAAGTGGTAACACTGGGTGGCTGAAGACAAGTGTCCTTCCTATAAAGGAATCTACCTATACACTGTACTTATAGTGATGAAAAACACCAACAAACATGGTTTCTTCTCTCATAAACTTGTGATCTAATAAAGTTAAATTCTGTTCAGAATTTTGTTTTTATGTCTATTAAGAATGAGAAGCCAATGGCATATTTTAATCAGATGAGTGGCAAGATCATGTTTTAATATTTTTTAAAAATTCTCTAATTTCAAAGTAGAGAATGGTTTTATAATGAAATCTAGAATGCAGTAAGAGGCAATTTCAGTAAATTGCACCCAAGAGATAATAGTACTGTAGTCTTGGCTGGTGATAGTGGTAATGGAGAAGTAAGTGGACTTAAGAGCTAATTAAAAGGAAAATTTGACAGGTTTTGGTTGTGGGTTTTTAATAGGTGGTACAGGTGAAGGATATGTTCAAGATGGTCTCTAGCCCTTGACTTGTGGAATAGTCCAGATATACATGCTATTCTCTGAGATAGGAGATGCTAGAAAACCAGGCTTGGCAGACAAAGAGGAGGTTAATTTTAAACCTGGTGTGTTTTGGATATCTTTGAAAAATCCAAGTTGATATGTCAAGTAAGCATTTAAGGAGGTTTAGACAAAAGATATAATTTAGTAATCATCAACATGGAGATGGTAATTGAGCATATGGATGAAGGAAGTAGGAGACAGAGTAGAGCAGAATAGCACAGAAGGATGAAGAAAATCAGAAAGGGATCCCGGGTGGCTCAGCAGTTTAGCACCTGCCTTCCACCCAGGGCGTGATCCTGGAGTCCCGGGATCGAGTCCCACATCATGCACTCTGCATGGAGCCTGCTTCTCCCTCTGTCTGGGTCTCTGCCTCTCTCTCTCTCTCTCTCTCTCTCTCTCTCTCTGTCTCTCATGAATAAATAAATAAGATCTTAAAAAAAAAGAAGAAAATCAAAGAGAACCCAGGACTGAAACTTGAAACTGATGCTAAGATGGTGAATGAAAAAAAAAATAATAAAAGCATA